ACAGCAGATACAAGAAACTATCGAGGTGAGTTGACTTTATTAAAGAAAAAGTCGTAATTTTTCATACAAACATGTATATTGATCGGAGTTACGTCGTTTGTCTTTCTCGTAAATTGAACTTGGGCCGCCTGTGTTTTTTAATCAATTTTTTTTGGCTGAGAATATTTCGAGATACAGTCCCGTACTGTAGAGGCCGAGGGAGTCTGAACCTCAATCCAACATTTCCCGCCTTTCCGTGGTACTTTCTTTCCCAGTCCTCCCCGGAAATTTATTTCAACCATGGTGGAGATGGAACCGCGTCCAAAAACAACTGGCTGCGAGTCGAGCATAAAACATGTGTTTTCTGGAACTCTGGTCCACTCTACTGCGGAAAATATGATGGATGTATGTCAAAACAAGATTGTAGGTGTTGATGATGACGGCAAGGTAACTGAATCCGGTCATATTGCAAAGCGGTTCGATTTTCATTGGAACCATTTGGTTGCATTTGCTTTACGCAATTTTTTCGGTTTTATTTATTTATCATTTGCCATTGACATAAGCTGATTTACAATATAATTTGACGTTATTTCTTACGTAGAAATATAGTTTTAATGTAAAATTTTAAAAAATAGACACAAAAAAAGTTTTAATGTAGGACCCTAAGACCTCACAGAGTGACGTTGTAGCGTTACACGAGCCAACAGCGAGCCCAAGTCAACCTCGAGTCACGAGTCAACCTCGAGTCAACCACGAGTCAAGCCAATTNAAAAAAAATAGAAACAAAAAAGTTTTACAGAGTGACGTTGTAGCGTTACACGAGCCAACCGCGAGCCCAAGTCAACCTCGAGTCACGAGTCAACCTCGAGTCAACCACGAGCCAAGCCAATTGTTTTCTTTTTTTCATTTCGTCCCGAAAAAAGAAATAAATTGTAGGAAATAAAATATAGGAATATAGATTGTCTTAGCAGTTAACAACAGGATATTTTAATAACAGGCTCACCTCGATCGCGCTAGTCTTACGCAATTGCAAACTTGGTGGCAAGTCACGTTATTTGCTGTGTCCATTACAGATTATCTAAATAGTGAATGACATGAATCTAGTTGACTAGCTACTGACAGAAAACTGGTATTTCGTGCGGCGATCGAGGTGAGCCTGTTATTGTTAACTTCTAAGACAATCTACCTTATTGTGAAGTTTATATGAAATAAATCATATATGAACTGCTGTTGTAGATGAAAGTGAAGAATGATCATCTCAGTAAATTTTCCAATTTAAGCAATTGGAAAGAAGAAGCCTGAAAAAAATCAGGGCTTCAAC